TTTTTCCTCTCTCTTTTTTCCTCTCTCTTTTTTCCTCTCTCTTTTTTCCTCTCTCTTTTTTCCTCTCTCTTTTTTTCTCTCTCTTTTTTTCCTCTCTCTTTTTTTCCTCTCTCTCTCTCTTTCTCTCTTCTTTTTTTTTTTTTTTTCCTTCCTTAAGTGCTGGGTGTTCCTGTGTTCATTTGGAGAAAGCAGGGTACTTGCATAAGAGCCTACACACAGCTGTAAGCCTGACAGGCACCCGGCTTTGAAAAACTTGCCCACTAGGTGCAGTGTGGGTGGTTGAGAAATTTCAGATGGGTTCCTTGGGGCTCTGAGATGGAGCAACTGATACAAAACACTTGCTCTCTAGCTGACAATAATTTTATCAAATGTGACTGCTAGTCTTTTTTGCTCTACCATGCTTCTCCCTTTCCTTCCTCTTGATCCATAAGACAATCTTAATTTGACTGCAGGAAAATCAAGCCCAGAGTATTGCTGTAGCATGCGTTATGGCTTGTCCCACATCATTTTCTGTTCTGCATGCCTAAATCAGAAGGGAACTGACTTGCCTCCATCGAGGATTTCTGCCTAGRTGAAGAAGAAAAGAAAATCCACAACTGCCTCATAGGTTTAAGAACCTGAAGTTTCATCATGATAAAATTGTTTACAAAACAAAGGGAAGCAATGCCTTTCGCAGAGACTGTACAACAGAAAATCCAGGGAGAGTCCAGGGTATTTTACTATTTCTGAAATGCAAATTGCAGTGAAAAGGGGCATTTTTCTACATGTGAAAGCTCTATCTTTTATTCTTTCGCATAGCTCTGAAGGTAGTAGCACAGTATTTGTCTTCCATTTAGGATAAGCAGATGATTGGCATTAAGTGCTGAAGTGTGTGTCTGTCTTTTATCTTGCACAAGCACTGTTTTCCCGCTTGCCATTCAGTTAAGTCATGCTCTGGTTTTTATGCAATCAGGAAACAGCTCTCTGTTCTTAATCTTGTTATCTGCTTTCTCAGCATTTATTCTTTTCTCAATTGCCCATAGAAGTGGAAAGGTTAAGATACAGGAATTGTCTCTGTGATGGCAAAATGTTTCTTTGTAAAACTACTGCTGCTTGGATTTCCTATGCACACTTCTCAGCTTGCTTTTGATTTGTATATTCAGTATTAGGATATGTAGATAGTATGTTAGATATAGTTCTTCTGTTCTTCCACAGATGCACACAGCATCTTCATGGAAGTAAACATAATGGAACTAAACATATGTACATGAGATAATCTATAAAATATATATAAGATAATCTATAAAAATATAAAACAGATTGTTTGGAAATTATAATCTAGCATAAGTTACTCAATGCGGAAGTGTGAAATTACCCGTATCTCTTTTGCTGAGTTTATTACAGCAGCGCATATCCGCAGCAGCATGTTAGTGATGTGTCAAGGTCTTTGTTTTGATACCCAGAAGTGTTATTTGGGCTTTGATTTGTTTCCCTGTGTTCTGTCACACTGTATTAAAAAGCTTTGAGTCAAGACTGTTCCCCATAAAACAAATTAGGTTTGTGGACTACTGTGCACTTTTATTAATTATTTTCCATATTCCCTGYTAGATGGATACTCTTCAGGTTGGTCTTAGTCTTACGGAAAATCATCTTGATAGATGAGTAGCTCAGAGCAACATCTGTAATTTATGGATATAGAAAATGCATGCAGTCTCTCACTGGCTTTGCTTTACAGATGTGCTTTAGGGCAGGTAAGATGCTCAGATAATGGAAAGGCAGAGTGTTAATAAATCTCAGTCAGGAAGACAATACTTACATCTTTCCTTTAAAATAATTCAAAGCCGAATTCTAATTTTTTTTTTTTTATAGATCATTGCTTTTTTTTTAACATACTATTGTAATATTGAATGTTGGGTAATATGTTGGATATGTCATTTAAAAACAAGAGTAATTAGATTGTGAAATTTGTTTTGCAAGACAAAACTAATAAATCACCAAGACTTCATAAAGAATACAGCATAGTGTTTGCTAGTGGTGGTTGTTCCAGAATTAGAGAAGCTATTACTATATGTTGTGAAAATGACTGCTGTAGTATAAATAACATTATCATAATCTGTAAGGACTGGAGAAAATGAAGAATGTAGAAATTGCTGCTCTGGAGCAGACCGGTGATCTGTATCATCTTGTGTCCTGACTCTGACAGGAGCCAGTATGTGGTGATTCAGAAGAAGAAATACATGCAGCCAGGCGGGTTACAGTGTACCACAGAGGGGAGTTTCTTGCTGACCTCAGATGATGCTCAGTCTGTGCCTTAAAGCGTGAGGATTGATAGCCATTGTAAATTTTACCTTGGCTAATGGCACCAAATTGGATTGCTCYTTGTTGACCATAACCTGCCCTTCACCTGGCCTTCATAGAATTGCATCCTGTCCCTTACTGCTGAAATCGCAGCTCTGATGTTTGCTCTTTTAAGCAGAGGCAGTAGTGCAGGCTATATAGCCCTGTGCTGTTACTTTATATGACATCACATGCCGTTGTGTTTCTCATAGATAACCTCCCGGTTTGGTGCCTTTGGTTGAACTGACAACAACAGTGGCAGAGCAGCCACTGCTGTCGCCCCATGCGGTTCCCCAGTACTGGCGGGGTTGGAGCTGCCCGACTTGGACAATGGGAGTCTTGTTGTGGGAGCTGCTGAAGAACGTGCCTTGAGCTCCAAGGCTCCTGTTGCATCGCAGCAGCTCAGAAGGACTGCAGTTGTCCTGAGAGCATTATCCCCAATCTTGCCAACCTTGACCTTTGCAGCTTCTGTAGGGAAAGGCAGTACCGGTGCTGGTGATCCTGTTTCTTCACCTTTTGCATCCTGAAAAAGTGGTGTTATGTATCCCCAGCTGAAGATACTGGTGTGCAGGGTGCTGCTAGAGAAATGAATATTACTTTATTCCAATACTTGCGTGACATTTGGCGCAAAATTTATAAAAGTTGCCTGTCATAGAAGCAGAGGTTAGGACTTTGTATTAAGGAGTACTTCTTTAGTTGCACACCYGTCTAATAAAACACTGTAGACTGAGAGGAGCTTTTGACACCTGATAGTCTACTTTAAAAGAGTTGTTTATAACAGTAAAAAACTGACCTGATTTTCAGCTTGTGTTCATACCGCAAGGCAGTGCAGGCTTTTGAGACTGCTCACACTGATACTGTTGCCCATCCAGATCATGGATACAGACTGATTTGATGGATAACAGTGCTGTGTGTCTTACTGGTCTGTGCRGTGCCATTTAACAAGTCTTTCCCCATGTCCAGGGTAAGGGGCATCTACAAGAGCACTTATGCAATTACTGCCCTTCTTTTCTTGGCCCCTATCGGTGAAGATCAGTYTCTGACTTCACAGATAATGTTCAAAACACAGCAAGCAGTTATCACAGGAGGCAGATTTAGCTCAGCAGCTTACAGGYTTGTCATTAGGTGCTGCCTTTCAGCCTTCCAAATGTGTGCCGCGCTGTCATCTTGCAGCTCCTTGGGAGAAGTAAAAAAATTAAGCAATTCATATCTCATTGYTAAGTGACCAAAGACAGGGAAACTGGGTTTCCTGACTGGCAGTGGTACATTGGAGTGGTCCAGGGAGGAAAAAATTCCTTTTTCGCTGAAGAAGGGAAGCCCAACATTGTTTTAGACTCCTTTGATATTACTGTTGATGAGTCATCCAGAGGGGTCATCTAGGCTTTAAACTGGCAGGAAGAAATAAGTCTTTTGTTGATGGGTAAGTGCTGCATGTCATGTGGGCCATCTGTGAACATCAAAGACAGCAGAAATTTCCCTCAAGTTGTCAGGCCTCATGAGTAAGCCTATTGCATCCCTTATTGCAGAGCCCACTTCTGCCAGGGCTGTAACAGTTGGGTGCTCATGAGTTTTGGTGTTAGTGAGGAAGCCTTGTAAAGGAAGAGGCTTGTGTAGATATGCTGCTGCTTATGCCTTGCACGCAGAGCGCCTGGAAAAGGCTCCTGTCATCTTGAATTTCCACTGTGGCTGTTGGTCCTCACATGCTTGTGTGATCCTGTCTCCTCACCTAGTGTTTGCTTTCCCAGCCCAGAAACACTTCCTTACTAAGAGAGGCTGCTCCAGGAGCAATTCCTTCTGAAGAAACCTTTGGGATTTCTTCTCTACTACTGCTTCTTCCTCCCAGCCATTATTAGTTCAGCAATGGGGCAACTGCCTTTATTTTTTTACACTAGGAGATGAATAATTCTGCTGGTTTAATCCCAAATCTCAAAATTTCAACCACTTCTCTCGTCTCCCATAAAGGTCCACAAAACGTTTGTAATAATGATTCCTCCATACAGTAGTTACACATTCAGTGGACTATATACATTGAAAAAACTGCTAGCAGTTCACTGTGGTTTAAAGAAGAGGTGGACTGAGAGATGAGGGAAAAAATCTCTGTGCATGCTAATATATTAGATTAGCAATTCAGAAARAAAAAGTCTCTCTTGAGCCTTTAGTGTGCATATTATTCACTAAGCAGTACAGTATTTCTGTAGAGGTCTTATTCTTTTGCTTGCTCTGTAGTACACTTAACCATAGTCTTAACTGCATCATATTTCTCCTTATTTTAATTACTTTTCATGTTCATTTACAAATTTCAAAAGTCAGTTATCCTTGTGCCATGGTTTTAAGAAGAAAGTATACCTCCATGCTGACTGATGTGGCTGAGCATGGGAGGTCAATGTGAGTCCAGGATGCTCTGTAAAACCTTGTGTTGGTTCTTCATCCTCTGAGCTTGGCGGGGCTCTGGTAATACTGAAAAAAAAGTGTTCAGACAAAAAAAAAAAAAAAAGGAGAGTTGAGCTGTAGGGAGAAGCTACAAAAGAGTTTGAAAGCCCTCGGCTCCCCTTGGCAAATTCAGCAAGTGAAGATGCACCAGAGCTCTGTTCCTAGGCCCACTGACACCAGCATCCACCGGGGGTTGCTGTGACCCCACAGCCCCTCCTGTTCACGGAGGCAAATTCTTGCCTCTGGGATTAGGAAGCGTCCCTGTTCCTGCCTGCTCAGATGCAGAGGCACTGCGGGAGCGGGACTGCATGAGGCAGCTGTCCCCTCAGCTGTCCGAGGCCTCAGCCCCTTGGCCCACCTGCTGGCCTAGACCTGCAGGAATCCCACAGCAGCGGCAGCTCCCACTTCCCTTGGGAAAGCTTTTGGGGCAGTGCTCCCGTGCCCCAGGAGCTTCATCCCAAAACAGTGTGGGGGCATAACTGCCCAAATTCAAGCCCCGCTTAGAAAGCTGTTGAGGCAGCGAGGCGCAGGGATGCTCAGTGAATTAATGTGTGCACTTGTTTTAGAGCCATGTGGGGATTCTGCTCAGCAGTCACAGAGCTGCTGCCTGGGTTATGTCCCAGCCAGGACTGGCAGCAAGAAAGAAGGGGCTGTTACCTCTCTCCTTGGTACGTGTTAACCTACCTGTGCAGAGACAGGCTCAGGGGGCTGGCAGTGTCTGGATGCTGCAGACTGTGCAGGAGCTAATGTGCTCTCCAACCCATCAAATTCCAGCAGTGCTGCACTTTCTATTTCTATTTTACTTTCTTCTCGACATGTAGCACCCATGTTAAATTGATTTCTGTTAACCATGGAAGTTGTTAAATGGCAAGAAAACCAATTGTCCCTTCCGCCCGTTCTCTTTCTGTCCCTGCGTGCACCTGAAGAGGTTTAGACCTCTAGGTAATCCCTGGAAGGGATTCACACAGTGATGGGTGATTTGGGTTTGGTGCACAAAATAGTGGGTCATTGTAACCTTCACTCTAGGTGCGCTCCAGAGGCCAAACCTCATTGCAGTTGGACTTGTTCCTGAATGCTCCTGAATGGACTTACTGTGTGAAATAACCATGAGTGTCAATCTCTGACTTTCACCTCAGAAATTAGTAATACTTTTTTGAGACAGTMTCTCTCGACCGTCAAAGCTGTAATTCTGCTCAGCAGCGAGGCCTGGAGGGCTTGGGAGAACATGTCCCCGCACAGGTGCCATCACGGTGTCAGGCCCAGCCGAGCTAAATGCACACTGTAATTTGCTTTCAAATTGAAATGTCCACTTAGGAAAATAGTTATATTATCTTGAAACATCTCTGGAAAATGTCTACGTAACTTTTGAGACACTATTTATTCTTTATTTATCAGTGCCTTTCCATAAGCCACAATGTCAGTATTCCTATGGGAATGTCCCCTAATGCAGTGAAAGCATTAGCACCCACTAATATTTTCAAAATTTCTTTACTGCGTTTGATTTCTAAAAAGTGATAAACTAAATAAAATTGCAGACCTTGCTTGCTCCTCTGGTGTTCCATGGATATTATTTTTATTTACTTAATGAATGCAGACCAGCACGTTCACATACATATGATTGAAAGTGTCAGCTTGAGTCCCCTGCTACTGCACAATATGTTATATAATCCCTTTTCTAAATTTACCAAGCTCCACTTTTAAAAGTACTTGCTCTGTTTTCTAATGGGCAAGACACCTTGATTGGCAATTTCTCTTTCTGTTCCAAAAACATCTCTGTTACTGCAGCACTGGCAGGGATCACCTGTGCTTAAAATACATTTTAATTTTAGGCCCTCCCAGTAGTGTGGAGTGGCAGGAGCACTGCGTGCTTTACACAGTAGAGCAGGTAGGATATTTTTAGCTTTAGTTGCTCCCA